AGTTTCCACAATTTTGCTAGTACGAAACATCAAGACATTAAAAATTTTGTAATCTTAGACATACTAAAATTAAGTAAAGCTGTTTCTTTAAAACTGATTGTCATATCTTAAAAACGTTTGCATTAATTGTTGTTGTTGTTTTACAAAAAAAAAAAACACATTTTAAACACATTTCATAAATAGCTTTCTTATTATAAACCTGGAAATTATCCACCAAAGTTATGGAAAAACCTGAAAAACTCAGGGAACTTTATTTAGCTAAATGAGTGGACACCCTGTAGATAGAGAAAGATGATTAAACGACAAAAAAACTCGTGAACTTCGTATTGTTAAAAAATAAGCACAAAATCGAAGACAACATATCAAGAAGACTAGCAACTCTTCCATTTTCTCGTACGACCGCTATGAGGCAGCCATCTGCCGCTCAAAGCTTGAATTTGATAGCATAGATTACATCCTCAGAAGAAAGGTTTGTGTATTTGCTCATTTTTCTATGCACTGCTTCCACCTTCGCTCAAGTGCAGCGCTACTGTATCTTCGCGGCGCCGGTGGTGTAGTGGTAAGCGTGATTGCCTCTTTCACCCCAAAAGGCCTGGGTTCAATCCCAGTCGGCGCCGTCGAGATTTTCTGAGGCATAAAATCTCTCTGGTCACGCCTTCCTTCGGAAGGGAAGTAAAGCCGTTGGTCCTCGGTCCATGAGTTGATGGGTCGGTTAGCTAGGGTTCAGGGTGGGAGCTGCCTCCCTGACGTCGGTAGCATTGGTACTTCAGTACGGAAAACAATATGGACGGAAAACACATCGAGAGATCTTGATATGATGTCTTCGACTAAATGTAGGCCTATTCTACACACTGCAAGAAGAATTATCAATCTTGAAATAAATTCACGTTAAAAAAGTTTAAAATAGTGACTTATTATAAGAAAAAGTGACTTTAGTGACTTGGCCTTAAAAAAGGAGACTTTTTAGTGACTGATTGAAAAAAGTGACTAGCTACCAGCCCTGATATCTCGAAGCATGAAGAGAGCAGTGGAGAAAGCACAGGTCTGATAATCGCAACGTTCGTGGTTCGAGTCCCAGTCGGCAACCTTTTCTTTTCGACATGATTAATTACTCGCTAATAAACTCCACATTTTTCTGTCTCCAAAACTTATCGGTAAAAATTCCGATCAACGAACTTCCGCGATAAGTATCAATAAGGTTCCGGGAAAAGACGGACCGAAAAAAAAAACACTTTCAGGCAAAGCCAGAAAGACTAATTTGGAAAACAGTTCCAAGCGAAGCCACAAAAATCTTGTGAATGTGGAAAGAACAGTGGAGTTTCCTTAACCTCATCTACCTGTGCACTAGAGTGATGCAAAATTTGAAATTTTCGCTCCACAATACTTAAACGATTCCAAATCTGATCCTGACTATTTAACCTCTCAAAATTTGAACCCATTTGGTGAGAAACTGAGATAGCACAAACCATTTGAAGTTTGTATGGGAATTACTATGGTAAAACCAAGATTTTTGTTCATGTCTATCTAATAATTCACCATATCGGTTTGCAAAGTTTGCTGAAGACCATTTTTTGATTAAATGCAAGGATCGAAAGTTATCAATTGTTCAATGCGCTGATGTCTTATGATCATGCTCAATCAACTGATCAGCAGGCAACATTGGTGTTTCTGGGGCGTTGAATAGGACACAAAAATCATGGCTACTATGTCACACTGCAAAATACAGTGTTGCCTACAGAGCAGCTGCTTGATCATGTCCTCAATATGGAAAAAGACTAGAAGGCAATGAACAAAAAGTTGAGATTTCTCATAGTAATTTACATGTAAACTTCAAATGGTTTGTGCGAAGCCTGTTTCTAACCAAATGAGTTGTAACTTTTGGAGGCTAATCAGGACCCGATTTGAAACATAAACAATTCCGGAGTGATTTGAGATTTGGGCGTAATTGTATTTGTAAACAAACACGTCAATCGCCGATTTATCGCGAATAAAAGCTCAATTTTGAAAACTAATAACACTATGAGGTAGAGGCATAGAGGTAACTCTAAGACTAGAAGGTCCCGAAATAACGTGCTCAACTTTTTGGCTCAGCTCTGGTACTCTCTTCGGTCCCAAGCTAATCGATTCACCCCTCGAAACATTGGAAAAACCAATAACCCCTCATTTTATCTGTCAAACTTTCATAGCGAATCAAAACAAACATTGTGTAGTACTAGAATTTCGACTAGAATGGGGTAGGTTATTCGGTTGCTTGGGACCAATAGGCTAGTCAAGTAGTGAGCCAATTTAAAATCGTTAGTTTCGTATTGATTGTTGGTAGAGGTATGATTCCTCTTTCATTTGGTATAGCTTGTTTATAAAATTGAGCTTTAATTCACGAGGAATCGGCGATTGACCTGTTTGTTTACAAATACAATCAGTTTGAAAGTTGGTGCAAAGGTAAAAAATGAGGTTACGGGACGCCACTGGGAAAGAAACTTCCGGAAGTAGTCGACCTCCCTGAAGCCTCCAGAGAACCTTTCAGTTTTAGTTAAATATTTTCGTGGAAGTTTGGAGAACCATCCAGATTAATTCGAAAAAAATGTTCCTGGAGTTGGAAAAGCTTACAAATACAAAAAAAATCTCCAGGAATAGATCAGAGAAAGCTTCTGCAGCATGTCGGAAAAACTTAAGCCAGAAGAGCTTTAAGTGGCATTTTGTCAAAAACAAAACCTTCTTGAAGAAGCCAGAAGAATCTTCTGAAAGAAATCCAGAATTCATATACTTCAACGCACAACATTCTAGGAGATGTTGGGAGAAACTTCGGGAAAAATCGGGAGAATCTTCCAAGGGAAATCGGTTGAAAATATCAGAAAAGTTCGTAGAAACTAGCGAAATGAGTTTTGGAATGCGATCGGAAATACTTTCCTGGAGAAACCAGAAGAACATCTGAAGAAATTACGGAGGAAAATAATTCGAATAAAAATACATCCGGAAGAAGTTAGGAGAAGATTCCGGGAAAAAATGAGAAACTTCCAGGCAATGCCACAAGAAACACAAGGGGAAAAAACCTCTTGGAAAGTCAGAACCCTTCATGTATCGTTCAACAGAAATTAAAACATGAACATTCTGATTAACCTACCTGACTACTGGATATAATTCTTTCCTGATTCCCAGGAATTCCAGAGAATCTAGAATATTCATTACAAATGGACCGACAATCATCTTCATAATAAACGTGGAATTTCCCCCAGAACAACCTAAATTATCTACTCTCAACTCACACAATTGACTTGGAATTCTTATCAAAACTTTACATCTTCTTATGGTTCAATTTTTCTTTGATGCATTTTTTTAAAATTCAAAAGCAGTTTTCGACGCATTATTTTAGATTGCAAAAAACTCGCGTCATTTTGTGTAAAATATCAAAAGGAAGCGAATAGTGCGAGCTTTTTGCAACCTGAAATAATGCGTCGGAAAAAAACTGCTTTTGAAATTTTTCAAAAAGCATCAAAGTAAATTGAACCTTATCCAAATCTCCTCAAAATTCTCTTCGTATGTCTTCAAAGTGACTGTATCCTGAAAATCTACTCAAGTCCAAGGGTGTTGACATTTTTTCAAGGTCGATAATCTTATTCTTACGAAGAAAGGACGAAGTATATTTTTCACGATTTCTCATCAACATTTACGGTTTTTTTTCCCGGTGATTTCAAATTCCCGGCCTTTTTCCGTTTTACTGGTTACCCTGGTAAAGCTGTATCTATAAAAATGATTGCCATGTCCTATAAACGTTTGCGTTAATTGCTGTTGTTGTTTTACAAAAAGCAAATTTTAACGTATTAAAAAATAGGTTTCTAAATTATTCGTTAAAAACCTGGAAAATTCAGGTCATTTTAGTTAGCCAAATGAGTTGACGTTCTGTAGATATAGAAAGGCGATTAAACGTCAAAAAAATCTAAATATGCACAACACCTTTGCATTGTTCGAAAATTAGACCAAAATTTAGGCATAGGATGGACTATCAGATCGTTCATATTGCAGGAAGACTGATCAAACTTAAAATAAATTCACGCTAAAAAAGTTGACTGATTACAAGAAAAAGTGAATTTAGTGACTGGCTTAAAAAAAGTGACTACCAGCTCTGTGATTCATGAAATTACCAGGTTTTTATGACCACCTCAGTTAGTGAAACACGGCAAGATCATGGCGCCTAGAAATCGAACAATATGAAAAACTTCACTTATTTTTTTCGCTTACATTACATCCCGTTACCCTATTACCGATAACACCGATTAAACAACCCTACTTGAGTTACTAGAACGACAACAAGTTTCGAAGTAAATATCATAATACCAATTTTAGATGACATATAATAATTTCATAATTACGAAAAACATTTTGGGTAAATAAGTGGAAGCAACCTTGTAATCAATGGTACAATATATGGATAAATTGAGCCAGGCCTGGGACAGCTCTTTCCTAATGAAAGAAAGACGAAGTTTGATCACCCCTACATAGTTTTGGCCCACCTGATTTTCTACAAGGCACATCAACTGTCTCTTTATCAATTACAACAGGTGAAAAGAGCACGCGCGCACGTCCAAGCGAGCGACCGTTGGCATTCGTTGAATCAAAGCAGGAAGCATGTATTTTTCACATTTTCTTCACACACCCAAATATAATCTAGCTTACACAGTTCATATCAACCAGAACGGGTTGCTAATCATCAGAATACCCATTAAGAGCCGCACACTTGTAGGGGCAGAGTTGCGTAGAAAATGTAGATGAGTGATACTCTCAGAGCATAAGGCGTCCGCTCTCTCTGTCTCTATTTCGAATGAAGGTCGTTCACATTCCAATGCAAACAATAATAAAACTAATATAAAAGAATGTATCTTGTATCAGTGACGCTAGTGTTAGGGGAAAATAGGCAAGAAGATTGCGGCTATCGCACGGTTCGGTTTTCACACAAGTATGATGATGATATTAGCAAACATGTTTTACATTAATTAAACACTTACCGATAAACTTCTCGCCAAGTGGATTAAGTCGGTACTGATGCTTGAGGCGATTGCTGGATCGCTTGATAACGAGGCCGGTCAGGGCGATGAGGGCCACCAGTGCCAGAGCCCAGGCGGGAACGTCCGATAGTTTGTGGGCGGCCACGTATTTGGGCAGCAGGGTCAGAGTGAATGGGAATACGGCATACCGGAGGAGCAGCAGGGCACCGAAACCTTCGCTCTGCAGGTCGAACGAGTGCGTTAAATGATGCTCGTAAGCGAGTAGATCCAGAAGGTAGATGATGGTCAGGGATGCCGCCAGAACTGGGGTTGCTTCGAATTCAAGATTTTTTACGGTGAAAGTGAGCTTTTCCAATAGCGAAAGTTCTTCTTCTGTTGGAAGTGTAGGGAAATGGAGATTACGGTAAAGGATGATCGAGTTGAAGAGGAGAGCAAGGATGACGGAAATATGATAGTGAACCAATTTTAGATTGACGGTATTGAAGCTCAGCGGGTTGATTTCACGCCCGATGAAGAAATCCGACAGGAAGTGTCCGGTTTTGGCGTACGGATTCCAGTTGACTTGCGATACATAACGTGATTTGAAGAAAGCCAATCCGGCGGTAACGAGAGCGTAGACCAGACTTATGACCAACAGCTGATTGTAGCCTTTGCTGATGGATGAGATCAATGGGTATTTATAGCAATATTCGGCCACGAAAACTGCCAACCCCGTAAAGGCAGCACAGGATAAACCGGTGAAGGTGTAGCTTTGTTGACCACGGACTTCGTCCACTATTTTCACGGCTTTACCAACGGGTAGTGTACTGACGAGAGCGATTCCCCACGTGAAAAACAAAAAGATGAGTCCAATCTCGCGGTTAAAGTACGTAGAAAGTGTTTTGAACTCGTCCAGATTGGCAGGAATCTTGAACGAGCAGTCCCGATGTGCTGCACCAGAACAGAAGTGATTCGTAAGAAAGATGAATGCTGGCACCAGCAGTAGTACTGCAGCAACGCCCCAGTTTCCACCGAATTCACGTAGATCATGCAGCTGCTTCGAAGCACTTCGCCTCGCATATGACTTATCGCGAAGCAATCCGTTATCATCTTTGCGGAAACTTTGGAACTCTATCTCCTCATGGTCAGAGAATTCCTGCGAATCGTTAGCCACACTCACAGACCGAGATTCAGTTACCCGACTGCGGCCTGTTGTCGTCTCAATCGATCTCTGACTCGTATTGGGGGTTGTACTTTTGGCAGGTGATCCCTTCTTTGAAATTTCCTCATCATCCAAAATAATCGATAATTGCTTATCTCTCAACGATCTTTTCAACACTGGGCTCTTGTCACGTTGTTCGGAAATCTTGATTCGTGCCGATCGTCTGAGTTCTTCTTTGTCTTTGGACTCAGGTGACACTTTACTGCTGGACGCATCTTTTGGTGGCCGCCCAACCTTACGGCCGGAAGAGGCTTTTTTTGCGGGGGATGCTTTCCTTGCAGGTGAAGCCTTACGCGCGGGAGATGCCTTTCTGGCTGGCGACGTACGTTTCGCTCTGGCAGGTGAGGCCTTTCGTGCGGGCGATACTTTTCTGGCAGGTGGCGAAGGAGTTCTATTACGACCAGTTGATTTTCGCCCCCGTTTGGCGGTCTCTGCGGGACCAGGTACTACAGATGCTGTTGTGGCCCCTGGAGCACCTCTTGTTGCACGACGACTTTCCATTCCACCTGGATGGGAAACGAAAAACCAGATCAGCCGAAATGGACCAAAAATAGAATCTAATGAGGTTATCCCGGTTTAAAGCGAAACACTGTCCCTTGTCAACGGCACTTGTATTAGTAAATATGCTGAGTGAGATTATTCTCTCGCTAGTCAAGTTTAAATTTCCCCATCCAGTGAGAAAGACAATCGCAGAAAAACGCGCGTCTCTTCCAAAACAATTACCCAGCACAGGAATTCGCACCACAAAAACACCCAAACCTCTAATGATTTACTCAACTTACTTTTTTAATCGCAGCACTGTTGAGTCCTAACCTGAATGTCAATATTTTGGTCACAATTTTCACTTCAATTTAACGATAAATTTTGAATCAACACCAGCGAGCACAGAAACAAGCGTCAAAAAGACGCCATTCACGAAAAATATATGCTGCAATTCATTGCTGATGTGTATGCGTCGTACCAAACCCACATAACAGTTATCAGCTATGCTGTTTGGCGTCGTCATGTTGGTACCGTCTATATATGCTTAGAGGCGTTATCCCATGTTATGTGCATTCGAATTGATAGCAGTGCTCCCAGATAGACCCAGTCACCCCAGCGCAATCAGTGTAAACAGGAGAGTCCATAGGGAATTTGCCGTCTCTTGTGTTCCTCGCTGTTTAAATGGATGACGACGTGGACGAAGTTAACTTCAAACTCCTTTAACCATTTTAACAGCGGAGGAACAAAAGTGAAGACATATTCTCTGCAGTAAAAAGTAACGATTTTTATCGGTAAAAAATACCGATAATTTTAGATAATCGTAGCTAAGAGTGTAGCACACAATTAGGTTCTGCAGCGTGACGTCACAAATGAACTCAGTGTTAAACGGCTGAACCTTTTTGACAGTTCAGTGGTACTGTTTACAAGCACTTAGTCGTTTTTTCGAAAAAAAATTTCTAAAGTTTCTGAATTTTAACTTGAAAATTGTCGAGGAACAGCGTGTTGCAGGAATGTTGCTCGTGAACATTGCAGAAATGCTGTGTACATCTCACTGCAGTCTGAAAAATTATCGAGAAAATCCACCCAAGAAAAAATCGACTAAGTCCACGTAAACAGTACCACTGAACTGTCATCAGATTGAGGTTAACCCCGACGGTGCAAAACCTAATAAGCTGATTATCACGTGAACGCTAACTTCTGCTTACTCACCAGGTGAGTCGATCGTACTCACTTTCGTCCGATGTATCGAGTTGTCAAAAATTGAGTAAACGAGAAATGTCGAACTGAGTAAAAGCCACTCAGTCAGCAAAATCCTGGACTTGGAAAAAATGCCAGTCATGTCGGAGGAAACCTCATAGAAAATGTTACTCAAAACCGGCTGAAATGCGTGCAGGTAAGTACGAATTGCTTAGGGAAACGGTGTTGAACCGTTTTTTGCTCCGGTAGAATGAATCCACACGCTAAGATGCACATACCTAAAAGTCGGTAAAGAATACCTACACACTTAATCTAGCTCGGTAAAATCTCCAAAAGCCGATTACCTCGGCATTCTCTTTTGCTGATATCTCTGCAAAATATCTGTTTGTTAGCTGACAGCTCAGCAAAATGTTATTTGTTAGCTGAGTCTCGGCAATTGTTTTACTGAATCTCAGTAAAATAAATTGCAGAATTACTCGGCTGTTGGAATCTCGGCGAAAATATTTAAGTGTGTAGATATCGGTAAAAATTACCGATATTCGAAGAAAGTGCACATACCTAAATTATCGGTTATCATGGATTACCAATAACTAACGTTAAAAATGTCCTAATGTATAGTAAAAAATAGCCTATTTAGAGTAAAAAGTAACGATATTTTTTTACCGATAATTTTAGGTAATCGTAGCTTAGAGTGTGGAGCAGGTAATTTCCATTTCCTTGAATAAAAATCAAAACAAAAGCCCTCCCAGCAACTGAAAATACCGGCGAGTGGATTTGACTCAGTCTACGTGAGACCGTAGTTTACTCAAAAGTGAGTCAACATAAGGCTATTCAATTTTGAGTAAAAAATACTCAGAGGGAGAGATGGGCGGAGAAAACAAAATACAATTCGGCAGCAGGGATTTGTACCTAAATAATCTTGCAACCCTTGCTAGAAGCTAGCATTTCACATGACTGTTACTTTTGATTCTATTTACGTGCAAATTAATAATTGAGTACATTGCAATATTTTGCACATTTCTTTGTGCCACTAATTAACCAACTAAAATCAATTAATTAATAGAGTTAGAACTATTAGGTTCTGCAGCGTAACGTCATAAATGAACTCAGTGTTAGCCGGCTGAACCTTTTTGACAGTTCAGTGGTACTGTTTACAAGCACTTAGTCGTTTTTTCGAAAAAAATATTCTTAAATTTCCGAATTTCAACTTAAAAATTGTCGAGGAACAGCACGTATAAAGGATGTTGCTCATCCCTAATAAAAAATAACCATAAACGAACGATAACACAAATAATTGAACTTTTCCACTAATGGTTTGGAAGATACCCAGAACACGTCGTTAAGCAAAATAACCATAACAATTTTATTAGGGATGGACATTGCAGAAGTGTGGTTTACATCTCACTGCAGTCCGAAAAATTATCGAGAAAATCCACCCAAGAAAAAATCGACTAAGTCCACGTAAACAGTACCACTGAACTGTCATCAGATTGAGGTTAACCCCGACGGTGCAAAACCTAATAGATTGCGGAACAGAGACCGACGTTAAATAAAGTAAAAAAAAAAGAGTTGAGTCACACGCTTACTTCAGCTAACTCACCGGGTGAGTCGATCGTACACAATTTCGTCTGATGCATTACACGGTAACCAGCGTAAACACATTTATGTGTAAAATTTCACACATTTCGTGAAATGCGTTTACACATTTATGTGTAGACCCATGAAACGTCAATAGAAGAGTATTTTTACACATTTTTCAAGTCGGTTTTTACTGCAAAAAAAAATAAATAAATACGCCTCTTATTGAAGATTGCTGTACCTATGCTCTTGGTTCAGAGTCTTCTTTTTCTATGTCACATAATCGACACATGTCTTCTTGAAGTTTTCCTATTAGCTTCAAGTGATATTTACATGGACAGTGTCCTGTTATTAAACCAGTGTACATATTGCTGTTTGCATCTGAAACTGGACTGCCCCAAAAATGCAAAAAGTGTGATAAAAGTGCACCTTTGCGTCAAATCGTTTTGATGTCTTCGGAGCACTTATTGCTTGCATCATAAGAAATAAGTACACCGAAGACACCAATACGATTAGACGGAAGCTCGCACTTTAATCACACTTTTTAATAAATGAAAACGCGCTTATTAGTCCAGTTTGGTGTGAAATGCGCAATACTACATACTGAGATCTTTCTTTGATAGTTCAAGAATTTTGCTAGTCACTGAAATGCTCGGATTAATAAGCCGTTTCGACTGCCTACACGGCCTACACAGCAAAAAAAAATGTAATATCGATCAATGTAATTCAAGCTGATGTATGAAATAATGATGTAATAGCAAAAAGCAGATACAATATTACATCAATCACGGAACCAAATTTTGTTCATTTAAATCAAAAATATATATTTTCATTATATAAAAATATAAATAGTTCAAAGTAAATTGAAAACACGTTTTCAACAAAAATATGTATGTTTGAATTAAATTCAAAAGCATGTTTATTTCAACAATACATAATCTGAGTAAACAATTTTCAGCGTTTCCTTTTTTCCTTGTTGTTTAACATTCGGCAAGCTCAACCGAAAACGGGCTGCAAGCGGTGAAACCGAAGTAGATTGTCCGGAAACCCACGCAAGTAAGTGTTCCAAGCTCGACAAAACCGGTGGAACCCCACAACGAGCCCCACAATATGCCGATCCCCATTTTATTTTAAACATGAAAAGCATACATATAAACATATGTATAAATAATTACAGACAATACAACCTTTTCAAATATTACAACAAGAACCAGTAGTTTTGTCAGAACAAAACTGGTTTTGAACCGGTGGCTCTTATTATAACATCAACTCTTGGGACAGGTTGCAAGGCATGATGACATTTTTCTTGTTTAGGTATTATAATTTCAAAATCATCAATCTTCAAAGGACTTTAGGTCTGAACGAGGCATCAAGACTAGATTTAACTAGTTGAACAACGATTTTCCGCGGTTCAATAATTTTCCACGGAAATTCATTTGATTACTGATATAAAGGATGGAGCCAGAGCACACCACTGAGCGTTCTTAAACGGTGACAACTTATTAAAATAAGAAAATATGCAGCTATTCAAGTGGTTACAATCTACGGTACAATAATTACTCAGAACATCTAAATAGATTTAACACATTTAATAACTTTATTTATTGAACAACTCAAAAGGCTTCAAATCCTTAGTTATGACAAAGTTTGCACCATCCAGACACATTTTGGTGATCAATCGGGCAATGTTTCTCGAGTCGTCCAATCCGCTGTGAGGTCGTCCTGCGAACTGCATTCCCAGCTTATTCAATGCATCGTTGAAGCTTATCGGATTGTGTTGGTAGAATTTCTGTCAAACGAATTCAATATCACTTATTCAAATATGCATATAATAATTTAGTAGTTATACTTTATAGATAGCTCTAACATCGATCCACTGATCAAAGTACGCCGGCTTATTGATCTTCTTTCTCGTGCATTCTTTGCTCAGACATGTTCCGAAATCCCAATCAGACCACGTGGCCAATGCAACATTTCCAGTTTGGTTGTCAGGATTGCTCTTCGGTAGAATCAGCATATGATCGTCGACGGTTTGCTTCATCCATTTGTTGAACAAGGACAAGCACGTGTGCAAGGGTACACCGTCGTCCACCTGATCCTGACGGATCCCGGTCAGTTCGGTGCAGAAGTCACTCAACCGAGGATTCTCGATTGGCATGACGTACTGACGAAATTCGGACTCGATTTTACCGTTGGTCAGGTTTATCAGAACGGCTGGAAACTCGATAATTTCATTTTTCTTCCATTTTTGATCATCCTTTGCCCAGCAAGTTGCTTCGAAGTCGATTACGATAATGTAACGGAAGGTTTGTGTGGAATGATGTGAAGACGGGTGCTGATGCGAGGAAATGGCTCCGCTGCTAACCTTAATAGTTTCAACAGCGTTCAGCGATCTGAAATGGGATGTTGATGAAATTAATCTATATTTATAAACAGACAGAAGAATGAATTGAAATCAATTTCACTTTGCTAGTTGAAATAGTTCTTTTTGATCGTTCATGATAGATGGTTTGTTATTGTTTTGATGTTAAAAAATTCTATCGAAGCATCGAACACCAGCCGTTATTTGCGCGTATTTTTGAAAAGATTACTCACCACGCGAACAGATGGCAGCACTTTACATGAGCATTACTTGCGTTACGATTATGCATGCCGCGGCTGAAAAGACTACACTGAAAACGAAATCTACTCAGAGAGTGAGTAACTTTTATTCAGTTGTATGAGTTTTTTTCCTTGAATTTTCCGTCGAACTTGTTTTCCGCGCTGAGCAGCGGTGCCAGATCGCACGCCCAGAACCGCACACGGCCAATCATACACTCAAAAGATTTTCAAATATAAATAGATTAAAAGTTACGCTAAATCGCAACTCTCCTGACCGACGCAAAGCTTGGTATAAAGTGAGAGAATACGAACTTAGTATAAAAATGGTTTACGCATAGATAGAATAAAGTGTATGTATTTATTCGATTCATAACTGCTATTTTATTTGTATTAGGGGATTATGCTTTTCTGTCAGTTTCATTTGCTTTGTTTTTTAATGCAAATCAAAAATGCTGCAAAAATAACAAAAACATATCTTATTTTCTTGTTACTAGGTACCTATCAGCATAGAAATAAATAAGGATATTTATTTATAAATTGTTCTGATCCCTGCGTCGTACAAAACCGCTCGAGTTAGAATCCGGTTCACTACCGGACATGGTACCGAGTTAATCAAGTTCAGCCGCATCGCCGCATCGCACTTGTGGACCACCACCATCGAATAACTAGTCAGCACTAATTAGTCTGGTGCAGTATAGGTTCTAGAACGGGGGCTTGTTGAACAAATCCGTTAAAATGACCAACAACCACGCGTCTTATCGATTCATTCGCCAATGAAGTCAGCCGGTAAGCTGTTGCTTAGGAAATCCGCAGCATTCTCAAACGGATAGTGATTCTGTGTGAAGGGCATCGAACCAGACTCGAAACAGCAATCACTGTGGAGAATTTCCCAGATAATTCGACGGGATTTCAAAGTGGTCGATGGCTCTATGTCGAACGCTCATTCGCACACATGAGTACTTATCCAGCTCTTCAATGCTTCCGATGCATGCAACTGGCTGGCCAGCCGTAAAAATCCACGGTGATGTCAGCGATCCTGAGTATCTAAAATTGAGAACCTTGCTAAAACTAAAAAAACTGAATTGTAATCTTAAAAACTAACCAAACAACTGCAAGCTTCATCCTGTCAACGTTGCAATTTAATAAACATTGGACGAATTCCTCGCCAATATTCGAACTTAGTATAATTATGGGATCAAATTTTAAGCCCATCTATGCATAAACATTGCTTAACCATAACATGTTTAAATTTTAATCTTTCTTCGATTAGTTATATTTTTGAGTGTACCAACTCAGCGACTAAGAATAATAATCAATTATTGACTCAGAGAATTTTCTTTCCATACGAAATTTACTCAGATTTGGAAGAAACTGCAGTTACTCATAACTTATGAGTAACTGCAGTTTCTTCCAAATTTGTGTTGAATGGGTGCTATATCCTACACTAATAAAATTCCACACATTTTTTATTGACGAATTTCCATGTCAAATTCCACATGATTTTCATGTGACCACACATAAACAGAATCACACAGAACACTACACCACCGGCGTCGGCAAGCAACATGTATGATAAGACTAAATAATAACATCTGTTCGGTAGGCAGAAACGATCATCTCATTTATTTTTATTTGAAATAATAGGTTTTCCAAGGTGGAATTAACTCTGCACACTGTGCCGAAACACAGTATGACACACTGTTCGGCACGTTAAGGCACACGCTGATACGTATGACACGAACAATATTATATAAAACGGCAACACTGTTGAGCACTTTAGTTTTTCTAATCGATTTATCCGTTGCTAAGGTTTGTTTACTGCAAACACAGAGAACAAACAACCGGTGGAAACTAATGATTTTAAATTGGCTCACTGCTTGACTAGCCTATTGGTCCCAAGCAAATCGATTAACGTATCCCATTTTAGTCGAAATTCTAGTACTACACTATGTTTGTTTTGATTCGCTATGAAAGTTTGACAGATAAAATGAGGGGTTCGTGGATTTTCGTATGTTTCGAGGGGTGCATCGATTAGCTTGGGACCGAAGAGAGTACCAGAGCTGAGCCAAAAAGTTGAGCACGTTTCTTCGGGACCTTCTGGTCTTAGAGTTTCTTCTATGGAACAGACGTCCAACTTCGGTCAGAAACTTGTGTAAAGATAAGTGGGAACATCGCCGTCACGTGGCATTAAAGGGTGTCCACGATGAAATTGCCACACTATGAAATTGCTCTAACTTTTTAACCGTTGGGTAGAATTTAATGAAAATTTGGGTGGATTTAGTTCATAGTGCATTATTTACATCCTGCAAGTTTTAAAGTCCTGTGATCAAAACTCGCGGAAATGGAGTCGAAAGAACAGCTCGTGCGTGATAAAATCTTGCGCATTCATCACGAGAACAAGGATCTCTCGCATCGTTCCATCGCTAAAACGTTGGGAATCGCGAATTCCACGGTGTCGCGAGTGATTAAGCGGTTCGAGGAACGGTTGACCACCGATCGGAAGCCCAGAAGTGAAGGAAAAAGTATTCCGTACAACACCAAAAATCACAACCGCGTAGTTGGGGCCTTCAACCGAAATCCGAACGCCTCCGTTAGGGATGTGGCTAAGAAGCTGCACCTAAGCCGAAGTTTTGTCCAGAAGGCCAAAACTAAGGCTGGGCTTCGAACGTTCAAGGTACAAAAGGCCCCTAATCGCGACGAGAAGCAGAACAAGTCCGCCAAAACCCGTGCCAGGAAGTTGTACCTCAACATGCTGACGAAAGTTGAATGCTGCATCATGGACGACGAAACATATGTGAAGGCCGACTTCAAACAGATCCCCGGCAACCTGTTTTTCACGGCCAAGGATAAGTTCAGCGTTCCGGAGCATGTCCGCACTCAGAAGATGTCCAAATTTGCGAAGAAATTCCTGGTTTGGCAAGCCATCTGCACGTGCGGGAAGCGGAGTGCACCTTTCGTGACCCAGGACACGATGAACGGACAGGTGTACATAAAAGAGTGCCTCCAGAAGCGGCTGCTTCCTCTCCTGAAGGCCCACAACGTCCCAACAATCTTCTGGCCGGATTTGGCCTCATGCCACTACTCCAAGGACGTGCTGAAGTGGTATGCGGACAATAAGGTCAATTTCGTGCCGAAAATGTTCAACCCTCCCAATACTCCGGAGCTCCGCCCTATCGAGAAGTACTGGGCGATTATGAAGCAGCACCTTCTTAAACGACCTAAGGTAGTGAAGACAGTCGAGGAACTGAAGAAAGTATGGGTTTACATGCAAAAAACGGTTGATTCACAGGTTGTGCAGAATCTTATGGCCGGGGTTAAGGCCAAGGTGCGGGCATTTGCGTATGGACTGTAAATAAAATACGAGTAAAATGGTAAAATGAAGTTTAATAGTTATTTCTCAATCCCTGAAAATTTGATGGCAATCGGATGAAAACTCGAATTTTGCGAATCAATTTTGTGTGTGGCAATTTCATCGTGGACACCCTTTAGTATCTCCTGATTTCCTCTACACATTTTCCACTTTCGACCAATTTGGAGCTAGTATCGATAACTTTTCTGTTGAAAATTGCCACTTGGCGCTACCAGCACTTAGTGTCTAATGTGATGAACTAGCCTACGGCTAAAAATCACAAAAATAAAGAAAAAAAAAAAAAAAAAAAAAACTTAGTGTCTACTGTAAATTGTGCAACGCCAGCGTCATCAGGTTGTCAAAGAGGTTTTTAAAGTGGAGAAGTCACCGTTAGTGGCGCTTAAGTCAATTAGGAATCTTTACACAAGTTTTTAGAGAAATTTTGTTCGAGCCGCAACGTCTGTTCTCTGTGCTGCAAATGAAAATATCCGTCAATACTGCTGCAACAGTGATTAGTCCTAGAATTTTAAAAGTTTATTGTGATATACCAAGTTTGGTACCGTTTTTAAAATGGAAGAGGCATGGTATGAGCACAGAGAACAGACGTTCAAGTTCGGTCAGAAACTTGTGTAAAATAAGTGGGAACGTCGCCGTTACGTGGTGTTAGCATCTCCTGATTTCCTCTATAAATTTTCCACTTTCGACCAATTTGGCGCTAGTATCGATAAATTTTCTGTTGAAAATTGCCACTTGGCGCTACTAGCACTTAGTGTCTAGTGTAATTTGTGCAACGCCAGCGCTATCATGTTGTCAAAGAGGGTTTTTAAGTGGGGAAGTCGCCGTTAGTGGCGCTTAAGTCAAATAGGAATCTTTACACAAGTTTTTAGAAAAATTTTGTTCGAGCCTCCATGTCTGTTCTCTGTGGTATGAGGTAAGTATTGTCAAAAGTTCTGCTCGATTGAAAAACTATTACATATAATATACAAACTCAACTTTTAGGCGGTGCTGGAGTATGGTCAAATAAATTTCCACATTAAGCATATATTAAAAGTCCAGAACTCCCAAGTGAGCAGCTCAAGGCAAGAAGGTATGTCAACTATGCTGCTTCCCTGTGTAATACTAGGCTTCGGCTAAAAATCTCTTTAATAAAGTTTAAAAAAATGCTTCCCTGTGTTAACACTGTTAAACGACACATTTCACGAGACACCAGCGAGATTCAAGATGGCGTTTTAATGATAACCTCTGAAAAAATATTTGGTAGCTCTAAGCAAAGATGGCACTACCGTTTCGCTCAATCCTGAATACGATCTACCGACAGATTCAATTCGCGGACTTGTACCACCATTCAATGACGACGAGATGCCGAAACAGAACCATTTCTTGGCAAGTTATGTGAAGAAAATGATCAGTGATCAGCGATCTTCAAAGCTCGAAAGTTCGAAAATATGTGTATGCTATATGGTCATCGGGGCATCACCGTTTTGTGTTTTATCGAAGACAACAAATCAAGAAGACTGGCAGCTCTTCCATTTTCTCATACAAACGCTATGAGACAGGTACAATCGCGTCATCTGCCGCTCAAAGGTAAATGCTTCGAACGAATT